AGATGTGCGCCCGGATCTATCTGAACGGCGACGGAATGGGCAAAGGGACGCACGTTTCCATGTTCTTCGTCGTCATGAAAGGAGACTACGACGCCCTACTCAAATGGCCGTTCGATCAAAAGGTGACGGCGGAAAGCTCACGCTATCGGACAGCTTAAAACCGGACCCTCGAAGCAGCAGCTTCAAAAGACCGACCGGCGACATGAACATAGCTTCCGGATGCCCTCTCTTCGTTTCTCAGGACATCCTGAAAAATCCCGTTTACGTCAAAGACGACACCATGTTTCTGAAGATGATCGTCGACACGACCGGTCTGTACGTTTGACGTCACAGCAAGTTAGATGACGTAGTACGCACGTCATCGAGTTTCCGTTTCTCCACCTAATATAAGCAACGAGGCAATAAAGAGACAGTCGAAAACGATCAAGAGACGATGAACAAGATTCTGTTGCTCTTTGCTCTGTGCACCGTAGCCTCCGGCACGCACTGCGAGGTCGGGAGATTCGCATGCATGTTGACGAGTCGGTCCGGTTACTCTCTGTCCGTCGGCGCCGGAGTCAATACCACGACGCAGGGTGACGCCGAATACTTGCAGAGATCGTCGGCTACGCTCAACAGCTTCACTATGCGGTCCTGCCGCTCCGGTAGATACCTGTCCTCGGAAGTAAACGGAACGATAACGGCCGTTGACGAGTGCGAAGGGGACCTCTGTCACTGGCAGGAGAAACAGACGTGGAAAGGTACCGCGTTCAAGAATATGGCCACCGGACGTTACCTGTCCGTAAGAAAGAACGGCGAACCGTCCTCTTCCTGCTCTTCGAAAGCATCGAGAAAAAGAGCCAACTTCATCTTCCACAGTTGTAAAGTTGTTGTTTAAAATCCAAGAGATAAAAAAATGTAGATAGAATGTAGAAAAAATAAATGTTGTTGACAAAAAGAATAAATTGCGATTCTATCTTTTCTTACCCGCGTGTATGTGAGTGTGTGTGTATACGTCCAGAGAAGTGATGATGTTTGATCTTAGTGACTTCGTTACCCACGAAAAGTATATTGCCAATATTTCTATATATTTGTTGACTTTCACGACGAACGTGACACTAGCGAATTAATGACAAAATAATGACGTTTCACAGCCACACACTCACACTGGCACACAGATTCAGACTTCGTAACAAAATGAGAAAGAAAACAATTTAAACTTTTTTTTCCCAATTTTTAATATTGTAAACTTATAACATATTTTTTTTGTTAACTACTTCTTTCGAACTGGAATGAAGGCGCCTCTCCATGCGATTCGTTCGGTTTTGCCAAGTCTCGTCTGCCAAATTTCCATTAGGAACCGTTCGCAGTAGGCGAAGAATGTCTCCCACCGCTCGTCGATTATCTTATCCGATTCCATGAAGGAGG